ATAATAGAATAGTTAAAATAGTATAAAAAGTTAATTTAGATCATTTTTTATTTAATATAAAAAAATTATAAAGATTGGTTAAAATTTGAATGATTTTTATTAGAAGCAATTATTGATTTTTATATTGAGGTACAAATCTTTTTGCACCAATACATATATATTTAAATTTTAAGTAAATTTATTTATTATATTATAAAGAAGATATTATTGAATTTTTATAAAAATTCAATGCATAATAAAGTAAAATATAATTTAAATTATTTTTTGTGGCTGTTCATTTGATATTTTATCAAATAAAATAATATATAATTTTTTGTAATTAAATTTCAAATAATTTACTAATATTTTTTATTATATAATTATAAGTAAACTTGTTCTCTAGATATTAAAGAATATATATATAAAATATTTATATTATTTGAATGATTATTTAATTATTTATAATCAAAAAACGAATTGCCATTTTTCTTGCACACCACTGTATATAGAATAGGTTTAGAAGATCTGAGAGACAAGCAATATGTAGTTTGAAGAAAAATAAATAAATTAATTTTTAACTTCTTCCTAAACAGCACTCTGTTTTTTCTTTCGTGATTAACGAAACCGAAAACCTTTTATCTAACAAAAGTGATACTTCTTTTGCTTTAGAAAGTTGATGCATATATCGACTCTTTTGTTTAGTAATAAAGATATTTTTGTTTCTTGAGTTAAATATTTTTAATCGTGCTAGTAAAATTTTATTACTTGAAGCCCCCATTTCGTATTGTTACGTTGCAATTAAGAGTTCCGTGATTACGAACGATGCAATGGCGATCTTATCGTAGCCTCAATTAGAATCCCTATTGTCCCGCATCGCCTGAATCAACCATAAGTTTGCGAAATTTTAATTACAAATTTTTTACTTTTTACGTCAACATTAATGTCGCTTCGTAAGAATTCCATACTTTGTGGTGTCAACATCAACACTGATAACACGAATTCCTTACAAACATTCTTATTTTGTGCATGAAGAATGTGATAATTCGTAACCATTTTGTATCGTACGTTGTTTCCTTGATTACCACAAAATTCCTACCAAATTCACATTTTGGGTTGTACGTAATAATTTTGCTTTATAATTACAATTAATTCTATTTTATTTTGACAGTTAACTCTATTATTCTTTGTTCGAGGCAAGCTATGCCCCTTTTATCAAATTCTAACAAAATTCTTACTTTATACGTCTTTGGAACGCGATATCTCAATGTTCAATGGTTCAATTTGAATAAAAGTTAAATCATTTGATTTATCTAAATTTAGTTTAGCTAAATTTAGTTAAATCGAAAGATTTGATTTTTATTCAAATTGAACCATTGAACATTGAGATATCGCGTTCCAAAGTTTCCAAATTTTTTTTATTTTTTTTAAAGTTAGGACTCGCGAATCCTTGTAGTAATTCACAATCTGTAAAATAGTCAGTAACCAAATTGTTTATAAAGTAAAACTCTCGCAAGCCAGAGCGACAAGTCGACGTATGGCTTGAAAGAAATAGATAAAATTTTTTTAATTCTTTCCTAACATCGATTAGCTTTTATTTCTTTTGTGTCTTAACAAAATCGAAAACTTTACGGTTTTGGCCATATAAAGTTATGAATCACTTGATTTTTTGGATTTTTCTATATTTGATTTTGATATTATTTCTTTTATTTTATTGTTATTTGAATTGATATTATTTTTATTAGTAATTTGTTGTTTTTTGTGGTATTTGAATTAAATATTATTATTATTACTTTTTGCCCCTTTGAATTCTTTGCTTTTTGATTGCACAATCTCTGGGTGAATTGACATAGGAGACATTTAGAACCCCCAATGAAACTCACTCTTTGTAAATTATTCAGTCTAGCTCTCGCCCCTTGTCGTGTCTATAATTCATTAGTTCAACTAACGTCTGAATTGAGCGTGAAGCATTTTTAATTCTTTAGTTAACCTAACTGCAAATGTCTAATTTATTGGAAGTTATCTCATAGTATTCAATCTTTTTCCTGTTCGAAATACAATTATTAAAATATGTTATAGTCAGATTTTCATTAAAATAACATTTTGATATAAATTTCGGGTCGAAATTTTCGAAATTCTATATATAGTACCGGATTCCGAAAAGAACTTTAAAAGGAAAAAGCTTCGAATAGTAAAAACATGGCTAAGCACATACGCCGCTTAGGTTACGTAAAATCACAGCTTGCTAGAAACGTTAGTATCCACGAGACTCACATATTAATTCTTACTTATTTTCATTGTGAATAAAGTAGAAGTAATAGTAAAAAGACATTGGCATTGTCGTAACAGTATAATTTTATTAGGAGTGAGGTTACTAATTAATTCGCAATAATATTAATACCAGCTAGAGCAGCACATGAAGATAGATATTGTAAAAAGGAATATATAACCGTCAGTCTAAGACAAAAAGATTAAGATAAGGTTAATAGATCTGATAGTCACATACGCGCTTTTATTCGCTATCATTCATTCAAGAAGTAGCAAGTGCCAATGAAAGATTTTTCTTCCTAATCGAGTACATAGATTATAGCATTACATCATTTGGATGAGAAATTATTTATAAAAGGAGCCTGTCTTTATGTCTAATACTCGCAAACCTAAAGTAATAATTTATAAGAATTCTAAGAACATAATGAAAAACTCTGTTAAATCTCTTGCGAAGGGACATTGGAAGCAAAAGGTTTTCTTATATTTAATTAGTTAGTTAGTATGTTTGTTTCTCATATTTTATAGCAAGAATTCTTAATTATAATAGCATATTAGGATGATGTGAAACTGCTGTGTTGTTATAAAAAATATCCTAATCAATGGCAGTTAATATCAGAATCAATGGGAAAAAAGCGTAGTGCAAAGCAGTCAAGAGAACGGTACCCATTTTGACTAGCTTTTCTTTCTTAGTTATATACCGTATTTGTTATAATCATTTCTTTTATTATCAAATTAGATATATGAATCACCTAAATCCTCAAATAAATCATAGTCCCTTAACACTCGCCGAACGCACCGATATATGGCTCTTGTATTTCTGGTTTGGTAACAGCTGGGCTTCGATTGCATCGCTTTTTCCTGGACGAACAAGCTTGCAAGTGAAAAATTATTGCATGAGTAGATCACGATCACTCAAAACAAGAGAAGCTTTCGGTGAAAAGGCATTTCTCCCGTATTTGGACTCTCCGACTGGCTTATCCGTTTCGTGTAATCAGAAAGATGCAAACGCTGATCGTATGAGTATAGCTTTCCTCCTAAATTAACTTCAATAAGCACAAATCTGGCTAGCTTCCCTAAACAGTGTTTAAATTTTTTTATTCGTAAAGAAAGGAAAAAACTAACAGAGTTAAAACTTACGCACATAGAAAAAACAGTATTTTGCATAATCAAATGCTTGTTTTTCTATTTTTTACATCAATGAAATCTATGTTGCAAACCAATTAAATCTCGAATATAAATAATCAATTTTTATTAAAATCTATTGCTATAAGATATTTTATATAACAGATTTTATTTGTTTATTATTTGATACACTCTCTCATAAGTGACATACTCGCTCCATAAGTGACATACTCACTCTTTCCCAAACGTACGCTCTGAATCGGTCTCATATTATCACATTTTATAAACGCACGCTTATATCCAGTTTCTAGGAGGCACTTAGGGAGAGTCGAGTATATCCAAATAAAAGGATAGATAAGAACGATACATTGATTCCTTCTATATTTTAAAAAAACTTATTGGCGGATGATTTAAAAAGAAGTTCAATGACGTATCGATTTCAGTCATGTGCTGCTCATCTAACTCGCTTGAAACGGGGACGGATATTGCGGTCGGTTCGTATTTAGAAATGGCATGATTAAAATGAGATTCTTATTTCGGTAATCTTTTAGTATCGCTATCAACTTAAATGAAAAGTATCTACATGAAATTTGCTTAATTTATTCTTTCCCGAATTTCCCGAAGATATTCGGGATAGCTGAATACGTCGTGCATTAGATAATTGTTTGAGATTTATTAATTTTTCCTGTCCAATCATGACAATGAAACACGTGAAGGCTCTTCATTAAATATCTACAAAGTGCATTCCCCAATTTTTCAAAGATTTGATGATTTTTTTTAATATTAGAATACTGATCAGAAGGGTCATTATGTTACAATTGAATCTTTTGGCAAATAATATTCACATGTACTTGAAAACAAATTATTGTTTTAAATCCTGTAAATGCTATTGACAGGAAATTTAATATAAAATGTAATATATTCCGTTTATTGATTCCTCTCGGGAAACGCCTTTTTAATCACAATCATACTATTCTAATGGTATCTAATCATTAACGTCTGATATGATCATATTCACTTCACCTATGATATCAATTAAATTAACATTGAGGATTAGGCTAGTTACATATATATGAAGTTTGAGATTCAATATCTTATTTAGTTAAATTAATTACTTTGTCATTTATTTTATATTTACATTGAAGGTTGTTCAATTACATTAAATGTAAATGTACATTAAAAAGAAGATACAACATTATTGTAGAATAAACCCGGTAACATTAGAATAATGAGAAAGAACACATGATACATAGATCTTATTCAAACGCGAATTATTGTTATATAACAGAAAAATGGTTAATGCTTTTTTTGAAAAGCATAATTGAATTAATATTAGAAATATTAAAAATTGATTTTAATTGGTGTTTTTCGAGCACAATGCATTTAAATTTTAATAATGTTTATATGGCATTTAATTGGTAGTGTTATGGCATCGTGGCACAATCTCTTAATATATCTTATAAGAAAAAAAATCTCTATAACCCTCCAAAAAATGATATGTAATTATTTGCAATAATTTCCTGTATATACAGGACCTGATTTTATAGGGATATTACCTGAAATCCCTGTAATTCGTTACAAATTACGATGAATGACAGGTGTAAAACTCTGTATTATACATTGTATTTTAGAGAGTATAATATAATATGCAGTTATTTATATTCTAATATTACTAAATGTTGCTCTTATTACATAAATATTATCATTATTATTATATCATTACTATTATTATATTATTATCATCCTATGATGATTATTATTATTACAAGAGCAAAAAAAGTTAATATTCAGTTCATATATAACTATACTCTTAAAATTATGCAAATATAAGTAAAGATTCCAAATAATATTGATTAAAATTTATTATAATAGAGTTTTTATTATATAAATATTAACTTAGTCATATAATATAATAAAAATCAAATTACTTAAATACAATATAATTCAATAAAACAATTAAAATTTCTAATAGGAGCAATTAAAATTCAACTATTTTTTATATTAAATAAAGAAGAATTTAGCTTAATTTTTTAAATTAATTTATTATTTAATTATTTTATATATAATAATAAATAATTCAAGATTTTTCTAAATAATAACAAAATTAATTTTAATATAATTTATTTAAATATTATTTTATTGATTCTTTTATTAGAATTACAAATTATACAAAATTATTATTTTATATTTTGATAAATATATATTTTAAATTATAAAAATTAAATTAAAATTTGAATTTTGAAATTTAATAATTAAATTATTTATTTTATCAAATTTATATAGTTAATTTAATAAAATAATAGCTTAGAACTAATTATTATTAATAAATTTTTTTTTATAAATATATACTTAAAAATATATAAAATAAATTTGAATATTTATAACTTTATTAAATAACAAAAGTTAAAATTATATTTTAAAAACATATTTAAAAATATTTATTTGAGATCTAAATACTTTTATATTATTATAATAATAAAAAGTAATAATAAGAAAAAATAAAAAAAAATAAATTATTTATTATTTTAAATATATTAATATAAATTACTAGTATTAGTTAATTTTAGATATTATAAATAATATAATATTAGCTTATAAATATTAAATTTAAATTATTATTAAAATAATTAAATTATATTATAAAATTATATAAAAGATTAAATATATTAAACTTTTTTAATAGTTAATTATACTTATAATTTATTATTAAAAATAATAAAATTATAAAAATAATTTTTATATAATTATAATTAATATATACTTATAATATATATAAATTAAACTATTATATAATTATTTTTTATTTAATTATTTATTTTAATTTAACTATATATAATCTGATATATAAAGATTGATATATTAATATAAAAATAATTACTTCTAATAAAAATTATTCAAATTTTACTAATCTTTATAATTTTTTTGTATTAAATCAAAAATGATCTAAATTGAATTTTTATATTATTTTAATTATTCTATTATACTTTAATTTAATAATAAATAAAGTATTACTTACTAAAAAACTAAAATAAAATTATTTTTTTTAAAAAAATATTTTAAATATTATCTCTATTAATTTATAATATTAAAAATTTAAATTTTATAAGTAAATTGCTCTAAATTTGATAAATATATATTTAAATTTTATAAAAATTAAATTAATAATTATAAAAATATTAAAGTTCAAAGTTTAATAATTAAATTATTTACTATATAATTTTTATATTAATTTTAATCTAATTTTAAATAGTAAATTTTAAGAAATAATAATTTAAAAAATTTTTACTAATAAAATTTTTTTATAAATAATATATAATAAAAATTTTATATTTAAATAAATTAATAACTTAATTAAAAAAAATAGAATTAAAATATTATTTTAAAAAAATAATTTATTAATATTTATCTAATATACTAATTTTTTTATATCAGATTGTATTTATTTTTAAATAATAATTTTTTTGAATTATAAATTAAAAATTATCAATAAATATATATAATATAAATAATATTTATTATATAATATTCAGATTATATTAGAATTTAAATTAATATTTTTAATTAAATTTTTAATTAAAAATTATCAAACTAAAACAAAATTATTTTAAAGAAATAAATTTATTATTTTTAAATATAAATAATTATATTTATTAGAATTTAAGTAGTTTTGATAATTATAAAAATATATTTATTTAGAATATAAATTTTAATAATTATAAAATATTATTATTTAATATAAAATAAAAAATTTTTCTTAATATAAATTTTATTACAAAAAATATTTTACATTTAATCAAATTTTATTAACAATTTAAATATTTATTTCATATTATTATAAGTTATAATAAATTTATATTAGATTTTTAAATTTATATAAAAGAATTTCTTTCTTATAAAATTAACTAATTTTTAATAATTAATTATTAGCAAGAGTTAGATAAAAAGTAATATTCTAATTTTATAAAATTAATTTAGTTTTATTAATTATTTAAAAAATTATAATAAAAATTATATATTAAAATAAAAATCGAATTTTAATTTTTAAAAAAAATTAAAAATATTGAAGTTTTAATATAAAGAAAGAATTTTTCATTTATTATATTATTTTAATAAAATAGGATTTATTATATTATTTTTTATTATTATATATAAATAAAAGTATTAAATATTATTATTTTATTTGATATTAATTATTATAAATTATTATAAATCATCAAGAAATCAAAAAAATAAAATTCAATAATTAATAAAAAATATATAATTAAAGAAATAAAAATATTTTTTATATTAAATATTATAAATTTTATTCAAATAATTTTTTATTTATATGTAAAAATAAATTTTTACTCTTTAATTTACAATTTATTAGTTATTATATGATATTTATTTATATTATGAAATGAAATAATTCTGAATTAATCTAGCATAATTATACAATAAAATCAATATATCATTATAATATTAATTGTCAATTTAAATTATACTATACCAGATTATAATTATTCTTATTTTACTTAGAAATATATTATATTCTTTTTAATAAGTATTAAAGGTTTTACTATAAATTAACCAAATATCTAAATTTATGTTAATATAAAGTTTCAAATTTTAATAAAAATATTCGTAATATAGTTGCAAATAAATTTATAATTCTTAATATACTATATATTAATGATATTAGTATTAATTTTAAATTGATCTAAGTTAATTCAGAATCAACGCCATAAATATATATACTTGTATCAGAATTTGGAATCACATGTAAAGTTAAACTATCAGAAGATCTCTGACCAATGACCTATGGATGATAATGATTTCGAAATGGTTCCAAATTCATATAAGAAGTTACACATGTGCATGTAATTTTCTCACGTTTAATATACATGTATAGTCTTTTTCTCATTATAATGATCATCTCATATGGCAATCAAAATTAACTTAAATTACTGTTACTGGCTATCGCTATTTCACATTATAAAAATGTGAGAAAATCATAGTGAGCGATCCAAGTTGATTGGCTATCTTTTGACTGGCTATGTTCATTACAATGACTTTTTTTCTCACGTTTAAATAATTTAAATCATAAGGGGCCATCATCATATGCTTATTCTAATCGAAAAGAACAATATTTAAGATATAAAAAAATCCTTATTAAAATGACTTCTGCGGCGCCAAAAAAATGTTCGAGCCTCGCTCTTCTCATAAATTTCAAGCTCGAACTTGAAATTGGAATTGTTGAAGTACTAAGAACAGCGGGTATCGATGATATGAAACATTTACCCTTTCAAAATAAAGCTTTTGAATTTTCCTTTTTTTTTGACCTCATATGTATTCACTCGGACGTTTTGTCACGCTTTTTCGAAAGCGTTTTAACTTACGTATTATTATTATTTCTTTAAATCGTATCCTTTTTCAGTATTCCTTAAACAAAATTCATATCCGAGATATGGTACATGGGTCACTTGAGCATCGACATCCCCTCGCGTGACTGGATATTCAGCCAACGGATGCTCATTGTTTTATATACCAAATCAAACATCCAGATGAATTTTTTCACACGCTATCTATATCTAGATATTCTTATTGTTGAATTTACGAATGTACATGTGCTATGTAAATCAAAACTATATGTAGATACTTATTTTTTATAGTCAAAAGATTTTTCAAGATTCAATTGTGCAGAAATAAATCATCGAACACGTGACGCCGATCGATTTTAATACAAAGTTTTAAATTCAAATAACACGATAATTACTGCACCAAATTTAATAAATTTTTTTTATTTAAAAGATAAAGACTACAACTTTTAGCTAATACTTTGTTGAATGACCTTTCTTTTATAGCAGCAACAACTCGACGGGGCATGCTATTAACAAGATTTTGATATTTATCAATATCTATATTTAACCATTCTTCTTGAAGTATTTTCCATAAATCCTCACTATTTTTTGGTAATGGGGTGTGCGCCAAACTCACCTCTCTAGTTCATCCCATAAATTTTCGATTGGGTTCAGATCCAGGCTCTGTGCAGGCCATGGAATACTATCAATCTCATTTTCTTCTTTCCATCTTTTAACTATTCTTGCAATGTGTATGGGTGCATTGTCTTCTTGAAATAAATAGCTTTCCAAATCATCCAAGTCATCTAGAAATGGTAACAAGTAATTTTTCAATATATCTACATACATTGCAGCTGTTACTTTTCCATCTAATTTTACTAATGGATCAAGTTTATATTTTGTGAAGCATTCCCACACCATTACCCCTTGTTGATCTGATTTTACAGTAGGAATTAAAAAATTTACATCATACTTTTCATAAGGCTGTCTCCAAACCAACCTTTTACCATTCTCTCTGAACAATTCAAACTTGAATTCATCACCTCAAATCACTCTTTTCCATTCATCTGTCCATTCTCTCCATTCTTTGGTCCAGGTAAGTCTTTTTATCCTATTTTTCTCACTTACAAATGGTTTTCTAACACCAACTCAACTATAAAAACCTTGTTCATGAAGGTACTTACTTAAAATTTTTTTATAGACAATTTTTGTGGTTGAACTGGTAAAATCTTCGCATAGCTCTTCAAGATTTAATTTTCTATCTTTTTTAAAATGTTTGTTAAATGATGAATATCCCTTTCAGTCATCATTGGTGGTCTGCCAGTTCTACGAGGTGGAACTTCATATTTATAGTCTCTGTGAGTAGAAATAATGCCATGAGTAGTAGTTCAAGGATGGTTTAAAGCTTCAGCAATCTCTCTCTCTTTAAAATCACATTTCCAGGCTCCAATAATTTCTCATGTTTAAAAATAGAAAGTACTTTTTTTTAATAATCATATCTTATATGGGAGAGTCTTGGCAATACGTGGCAAAAACCTAGAGGTAAATTGATAATAAATGATTGACATAACAGATTTTAAAGGTAAATAAATAAATAATCGATAATCACATGGTCGGTGACTTTTTCCACGCACTTTATATAAAAGTGGATTACACTTTTTTAAATGTACAGGTCGCACATATTTTTTGATCAAAAACTTTTTAATATCGATCGATTAAGTTAGTTACAAGATATTTTTGAGATATTAACGCTTTTTCCTAATGTGTAGTTATTACTTGGCTCGCGTGAACAAATTTTTATATCAATTAGTAACTTAACAGCCTATTAAAAGTTACGAAGCCAAATTTACATTTAAGCTGTAAATTTAATTAAAAGATCCGAACTTATGTAGATTATGCTACGTTGTGTTTCACTCTACGCCAATTGAATTTGCATCTTTATCATTATTAGCGATTAATTAATAACACGATAGTACTAATCATTTCTTTCACTAATCAGTACACCAATCGACTATGACACTCGCCCATGCACGTACAGTTTTTTTACGACTTTCGTTAACCAATACATGTATTATACATTAAAGTGTGGAATTCCTTTTTATTTAATTCCAGCTTGGAATCAGCTTCTACTTCAAGCAAGTTAGGATATTATCTTCTTTGCATATAACCCAAAATTACTGAGATACTATATCTTATCACGTCGTTCCCTAGATATATACTCGGAGTAGAGTGCACAGTTTTCTACAGAATCCATATATGGTTTATAATGTGATTTTACAACCTACATTATAAAAACAATAATAATTAAAGTATAGTGCGCCCAGTTTAAAGACTTTGAATTGTAAAGAAATAAATTTCATTTTGGATATATAATCATTAAAACAAATACAGTATCAAATAGTCTTTGATAAAATCCGTAAAACTTACATATTTTTTGTTCATTTTATTATAAAAATAATTTGTACATGTAGTTAGGTTCTTTTAACATGTACATGTTATTGCACCGGAATATCACGTGAATTACTTTTTGATAACTGGTGAAGTATTTGTTGCTGGTGCAATATCGATATTATAAAAATCGGACGATCTAAAAGAATTGTTGTACAGTACATGTATATCGATATACTGTATGTCTGTGCATGTAATTTTTTATGCTACAAGTGCATGAATCCAAATTTATATGTGCAACTTAAACCATAACGATAAGATTTGAAACGCAATTATAGTAATCAACAAAATAGAAAATAACTGTTTTTAGAACTGATTTACTTTTTTTCTCATCAAATTAGAGACATTATTTCAAATTTGACCTAACCGAATTCCCGCTATCGTTAAACATGCACGTATGAACGCGCTTCCCATTACATTGTTGCAAGAAAATTCGAACTTGCAAATAATAGAAAGGTTTAACTTTTTTATTTTCATTGTGCGTAGTCATGGAACGATTGTTTTAAACAAAAATTTAAATCGTCGGATTTGAGAACATAATTATAATTGGTATCAAAACACAACTTTGATACATCCTTCAAAAGGAAGCATTCCCATTATTCATTATCTTTTTTGGGCCGTTCAGCTAATAAACATATTTTTTTAAACAAAAAAAATTTGCGTTTCCTAGGGAATTCTTTTGGTTATATGATTTTTCCGGTACCCACTTGCCGTATATTGTAAAATACCTTTTTTTAAGTACGCTGGTTCGAATCTATATTCGAAAAATCAGCTCTTCATTGATATACAGTTGAAAGTCGACTGATTTACAACATGCTATTCTCTATTGCTCGAATAAATTGGTAACATTAACAGCAACTAGAGCATTATAAATTGTATTGTGAATAATTTGAAAATTACAATCGAATAAAGGTTCGAAAAGAATTTATTTAAATAATATGATCCTTTAAAATTCCACATCTCTGATAATCAGAATTTATAAGGCTACGTAATTATAAATTGAAGAAAATGATATGATATTTCAAAATGGATTAAGTCCACTTTGTCCATTTTTTTTTTGAGTATGCAGTAATACTGTACATTCTTAGTCAAATGCTACTATATTCATATTTTAACTGTCCTTCGTCTGTAGTAAGTAAAAAATGCTTTTTTAATAATCACACCAATTTATAACAATATTCAACCAATTTGAAAGAGAGAATACATATAAGTAAATTGTACATGCATGCATATGCAAAAGTAAGGTTTGTGAAAATTTAATTTCTAGAAATGCGTAGTGACCATCTATACATGTAGGAGAAGAGTATTGAATCTGCTAAAAGAAATGTATCACAATGCTAAAAATAAACTTACAAAATAGATATTTATTTTTTATTATTAATTAATGAGCCCGCAATGAAAAATACCCAAAACGCACTTGAATGATTGTAATCTATAGTAGGTTATTAATAGTTGTTAGAATGTTCTTTATAATAAATAAAACATACCACTATCTGTTGGTTATACATGTACTGTATATGGTGACTTTCGTAATTTTTTTAGAAATTTAGTAGTAATTGCATCGGGACGGTAATATTATCGTTATACAAATGTAAAGGTAAACTCATTTAAGTCTCCGAATACAGTAATCTTATTCTGCTGCGGGACAGTGAAAGAAACAGTAATAGATCAATATTGATACAACCGATATGTCTATTTAATAAAGATGAATTTTATGAAAAAAAATCAAAAGCGCGATCACAATATTATTTTATTATACAACGAAAGATGCTTCTTGCATCTATTGAGAGTATCGGTATGGCGTAATACGAAATTTAACATAATACAATGCACCTCTAACGTTCCACTGGCGATTAAACTTTAACAATACGCTAAATTTTCTCGAATATAAATAGCCAAACGAAAATACACACATAGAAATCAAGAAACAAAGATATCATTCAAAATGAAAAGTTTACTTATATTTTATTTATATTTGTCAATATTGTACATTACAACAGAAGCAACAGTTTTTCCGAAAGAACACTCAAAGTATGTAAAATAAAAACAATTAATTACTAATTTAAATATCATGACTGTATTAGAATAATCTGATAATTTTTTAGATTTATTAAGGACGAGAACGAAAATGAAAATAAACTGATGCCTCGCGCAATAATAGCAACAACAACATCTACACCACCAATGTCAACTAAACAGCCACTGCCACAGTCAACAATAATACCACCTCAACCGACAACAACTGCAACTGCAACCACACCAATAACAACACCAACAGCACCAACAGCACCAAATATAACACCATCAAAACCAAAACCTACCCATGAACCACAAATTCAACCACCACCGCAACCACAACCTCAACCGCAACCACAACCTCAACCACAACCGCAACCACAACCAAAACCACAACCAAAACCTAGCCCTAAACCACAACCTCAACCACAACCTCAACCTCAACCACAGCCGCAACCGCAACCTCAACCTCAACCTAGCCCTAAACCACAACCACAACCACAACCGCAACCGCAACCGCAACCAACTTATACAAATCCAAATTCAGGCAACAATCCTCAAATTGCTAACAAACCAGTTACATTGCCTAGCCAATCTCCTGTGTCTACAACGAGTGTAAATCCAAATTTACAAACAATTCTTCCCAATTTTTCTTTATCTGTTCCTAATACACCAAGGTAAATTTTCTAATTTAAGAATAAATAAATAGATTTCCTTCATTCTTCCTAATTTAATAGAAATTTCTAACATACTTTGATCTCCTGAATTTAGTTCTAAAGGTGACGATCAACCAACGCATATATATGTAACATATTTAACAAGCACTACCGCTACAGCTGCATTCCCATCTAATCAGATCAGCAGTAATGAGAATGAAGACAGCAAACCAAATTCACAATCGCAGTCAACTAGCAGCGATGACTCTTCTAATCCAGGAAACTCGCCAACTTCAAGAGCAACCAAGAGCTCAAGCAAAAATAAAAATCCTAAAGAAACTACGATAACTAGGGCAGCAAATGGTGGTAATTTTCTAATTATCGATAGCTATTCTGAAGTTGTATTAATAACAACTTGGGCTCTTGGATTTGTAATAAGTATATTTTTAGCTTAAGATAATTTTTTGATGTATTATACCAATGTATACATAATTTTAGATTTTCGCTTGTGATTTGTTTTATTAAACAGTGAAGAAAATAAAATTTTATCTTCTTTCTCGAGTGCAATCGTTTTATCTGTCTTTAAAAATCTGTTAAAAGTAATCGAAATTGAAACGGGGCTTTTTATGCATTTTCTGAATTTAAAGTAATAAATAATTAACAGCAAATGTAAAGAACAAGAGGAAACTTATATCAAAGATTCATTATGGCTTAAACTCAATTTAAAGAGAAGCAAAAATTGAGATGTATTTGGTAAAATTGTTTCAATTCTAAATCTAATGATTGTTTTATAATTTTCAGGTTTTACGAATCAGCAATCTGAATTTATTTTTCAATATAAGAATACCGTAAATTCCCAACTCCCAGATATAAAAATGTATATATATAATTCAACCCTAAGATAAGTCATCCCACTCTTTTGACTTCCAAAAATCGTGCAAAAAATATTAGCTTATTTTCGGAAATTTAAGGTAAGTTTTGGGATTCCAAATCAATATAAAACGAATTTCCGTTATTACGGTATTTTATCGAGTTAAATACTACGAGTAAGCTTAGTATAGATCACCGAGTTCCGTTCAATCGAATCTGCTAAGCTTTATAGACTTATTTCATTGAACTTGCATGTTCATTCCAATAGAGACTCACTGGGATGGAATATTCACTATTATATCTAGAATTTTCTTGAATCACACCTGGAAGGAGATGGTGTAAATAGTGGGAATACGCTTTATAAAATAAATATTGTCAACAGTACCTTAATGTAAATTCATTATATGTACATGATGTCACCCAAAATCCCGAAATACTAAAATGCCGAACGTTCAAAATCCCAAACGTCAACACTACGAAATACCAAAATGCCGAATGTCCAAAATCCAAATCCCAAGATTTCTATAATCCAGACATCCAAAATTACGAAAATCCAACATCCTGAGATTCCTAAAATCTCGACGTCCAAACTCCCGAATGTCCAAAATCCCGACATATCCAACATCCCGACATTCTAAAAATAAATAGAAATTAAGTGTGAGTAATAAGCTAGTACAAATTTCACCTTTAACAAGTGGTAACGCGACTATATACATTTGCAACAATGTTTTATTACATAATAATGAGTGGAGTGTAATGTCTGAATTTGGAAATGTCAGGATGTCGGGCTTCCGGGATTTTGGGGTAGATCCCCAGCACATACTGTATATGTTGTTTCTCAATGTACCGGATCAAGTATAAATTATCGAATGTTAGTATCTGTCCTAAACTCCGTTGTTACCAAACCATTGAAAATTCATTCTTATGAAATTGCAAGATAATTTTTTTTAACCTTAGAGCCTTAGCATTAACGAAGGTAATGTTGCCGTCACAAACGAAAAATTCCGTGACTACGAAATTCTGAAACGATGCAAGAGATCTTAATCTTTTATCCCTTAATGAAAACTTCGCAAAATTATTACATAAATTCTTTATGATGCCGTCATCAGCACTGCCTTTCCCAATCATATGAATTTTTTACAAATTCTTACTTTGCGCTCTCAAGATTAGAAATTCTTACAAACGTTCGTATCATACGTTATTCCCTTGATCTATAGAATTCTTACAAAGTTCATACCATATATAATTATTTTACTTTATTGAATAATTGCATTTGATTACAATATTTGATGAATCTATAAAAGAAGATATTATCATTTATTTATAAGAAACTATAGAAATTATTAATCAGTTGAATTATAATAATACTAACCAACAGTTAAAGTACTTGAGATATTAAAATCATCAACTTCAGTAAGATATAATAATATTAATACTTACTTTATTAGTTTTATTTTCTTGATAGCTCTTTAAAAGAAGTTTATTAATTATTAATAAAATAAATTCTATGTTATTATAAAATTGGTCAGAAAATTAATATCAGATCTACTAAAGAAAACACTTAATAACAAAGTGAACTTACCAAATCTTCATAATAATATTCTGAAAAAATAAATAATATAAACTTTTTTCATTTAATCTTTATTTGAATAAGTAGAAAATAAAAAATTTATTACAAAAGATAGAGTTTGTAAAATAAATAAAATATTATTATTAAAATCTATATTTTTTCTAAATTAATATATATATATATATAAATATTTGTTAATATTTGATATTTAATAAAAAATAAAATAATTAATAAATAATAAAATTTATAAATTATTTTAAAAATAATTAATATTCAAATTAGAATATTTTTTAGCAAATATAATTTTTATTTTATATTTTAAGATTATACAAAATTAATTATTATTTTTCATAATATAAAATTTTAAATTTAACTAGTCTTTAATTTTTGCTAATAATTTTTATCTCAAAAAAATAAAAAATTTATAATTTTTTAATATTTTAAAAAATTTTTCCAAAAGTTTTATAAGAAATAATATATAAAATTTTTTAAAGACTTGCAAATTAATATAGCTAGATTATAAGAATTAATTCATTTATTTAGCTTGATCTAATTACAGATAAAATTTATTAATAATTTAATTATTTAATAATAAATCAATTATATACTTAATAATAATTTTGAATTATTACTTGAAATATTTTTGTATTATTTAAAAGATTTGATATATTATTCTAACTTGTTAATATATAAACTAATTATTTAGTATATTATTTAATTATTTAATATAATTTTGGAATATTTATATAATCAAATAATTCTTAGAATATTTTGTTTAATATTCAAAATATATATCAAAATATAAGTCAAAACATAAATTAAAACATATATCAATATTGAATACAAATAAAAATATGCTCTTAAGTCTTAATTAATTCAAATAATAATAAAGTTCAAAGTAATTAAAACAGTGTTATCTCTTGCTTGTATTATTGGCTTTATATTCTATTACTTAATCATTAATTGATTTCTTGTAAAATCTAATTATAATAATAAATTTATTTGATATCATGACTTGTAAATTCTGTGAAACTTTTACTATTTGCTTAAAGAAGTTTATTTTTAAAATCAAATATAATTAATTATCTTTATTGCCATATTCAATTATGTCTTCACATTATATTAAATACTTATCTTAACATTGATAATAACCATAGTTACTTGCATAATTTCTTTAGAAATCCAATAGAGAATATTCTCTTACATCGAAGAAACGTCGTCTAATTCTCAAAAACTTGTTAATTCTATCCATCTTTGAAATCCAATGATTGGATAGCCATAACAACATATATTTCCTTGCACAAAATCGTAACATATGAATAACAATTTGGTGATTGTAATTCGACCTATGATCTATTATTGCTTTAAATTGTTAATATTTAGCACCAGAAAAATGACCATTTTGATCTAAATTGGTGCTGATTTTAAACAACAGATTTTCAAATTAAAAGATTAGTATTAAATATGATATCAAATACATGCACTATTCTCGAATATACAAATTTATTATTGAAAAATATTGGGATCACTAAGAAACTTTCACATTTTATTGATTTTATCTATTATGAAGATTAAGATTGAAAGAAAGTATCAATCTAGTGAGACAAAAATTATATGAACTTGGCGAAAAAAGCATTCCTACAAATATAAAAATATGAACAAAAAAACACAAATCCACTCAAATATAATTTACAACAGTCAAATGTTTACTTCAGAATTAATATTATGGACTAGGGCTGGGAGATAATAATTAGACTATTTATGCAGTTAATTCAATTCCTGTGCCCGATATCATTCTATGTGTGCGTCTGAGAAGGAAAAATATGTATGAATAAGAGGCTTTTGAGCGTGGAACTTCAAGATTATCTGAATAAGTTATTTTAGAGAGGTGGTAAGAGGAAGATTTTATGCTTTATATCTATTAACTAGGCTAATTTTAATTGATATTTATTTAGATTAAATCAATTGATGTGTTGCCTTTTCTGAATCAAGGATCTAACTAATACGATGTCTTTTCTAGTACAAAGAACCTAACCAATAAAATAGGTCATGACGCCTTTATATCAAATACTATATCAATGAAAATAAAATAACATTTTAAATATAACAAAAGAAAGGACTGTGCTGAAAGTTAAGCTGCAATACGCATTGCATCACGCTGAAATAGAATGCGATTTATTATGTTAAAAAAAACTTCTAAAAAACTTGTGTCGGTGTTATATGATCAATAATGCCGAAAGATTTTTAAGAAATACATGTTTAATAAACGTAACTTTCTTATTTTTAATTTGTTTTGAACTACATGTATTATGATATATTTCTTTAAACGTTACTAATATCACCATTATTATATTTTTTTCCAATTTTAATAGAGGTACAGAATAGAGTGTCCAGTTTACTGCATTTTGCGCAATAATTTACTGCATTTCGCCGCAATATTTACTGCAAATTCTGCAAATCAAAAGATCATTAATTTAAAAAAAATTAAACAATTCGACAACTTTGGATGAGATATTTCTGACATCCAACGGTCTAATTTGTACAAAAATAGAAGCATTGTATTCGTCTATTTAGTTGAATTAATGATTCTATTATTGTCCAAATTGTACCGTTTGATATCGAGTTATTGCGTCCCAAAGTTACAGAATTTTTAAATTTGATCACCCGGTTTTTAAAAATTTAATTTTCAATAGATTCTTTTGATTATGCATGCTTTCTATCATTAAATATTTTTAATCCTGTAAAAAATCATTTTAGTAATAGTAAATTGTAAAAACCACATCATCATTATAAAAAAAGATAAATCACGTTATAAACCATACGGATTCTGCAAATTCTGCGTTTGCAGAAAACTGGACAACTCTAGTACAGAATTAAGAAGTTTTGAATTATTCCAGAATTTTCCAATGTCACGAGAGTTTTCATTGCGATGACAACAATATATTGATTGAAGTCATTATCAAATATTATCATTATCGGTAATCTGAGAAAAATTCACGAAGTTCGTACATCGTGATTTTCATCCTGGAATTACATCATTATTCCTCAAATTGCTGATTTTGGACTTAGCATTCCAACAAAATACATGTATAGAAAAATCTAACAAGAAATTTGTGAACATTAACACTGCAGAAATTATAGCCTTTGATGGTTGTATACGAAATCATAGGAGGTGAACAACCCATTTGGTAGCATAATAGACTTTTTATGTCAGTGTTTACGGCTGATCTTGCCATAATTTTTGTAATTAACGAATTTTCAGATTGATTTTAATATAGGTTCTACAAGTGTTATCGTATACATATATTATATAATACCAATATCGATATACATGTATATATATATATATATATATACCACAATTATACCCAGTAATATTGATTTAAATATATGGGTGGGTCAGTGCAAAAAGATTTGTATCTCAATATAAAAATCAATAATTGCTTCTAATAAAAATCATTCAAATTTTAACTAATCTTTATAATTTTTTTATATTAAATAAGAAATGATCCAAAAAATTTACTTTTTTTACTATTTTAATTATTTTAGTATACTTTAATTTAATAATAAATGAAGTATTACTTCTTTACTAAAAAAAACTAAAATAAAATTATTTTTTTATAAAAAAAAGACATTTAAATATTATTGCTATCAATTTATAATATTAAAACTTCAAACTATGCAAGCAAGTTACTGTTTAGTAATTAAATTATTTATTATGTAATTTTTATGTTAAATTTTATATAGTAAATAAGAAATTTATTATTAGTAAAAATTTTTTTTATAAAAGATATATAATAAAAATTTTTATATTTAAATAAATCCCAATACCTAATAACTTAATTAAATAAAACAGAATTAAAAATTTTATTTTGAAAAAATAATCTATTAATATTTATCTGTTGTATCAAAATTTTCACAATGGACCATATCAGATATTTAGGACTCTTCGTTCGAGTATCGTTAAGATTCGAGTTATCCTTCTTTGTGACGCACGACAAAAGCTAACGGATAGAGAAGCGCCATTAATTTTATTGTGTAGCCGGCATCATACATTAAGAAGTTATATTAATAGCAACATACCACTTGTCACATTATCGAAGCCTTTTTATAACGATCATACTCGTCGAATTCTTTATAAAGTCTATTTAGATCTAGGTCGACGAATGAGTTATCAATAATCTCCTTCTCACTTCCATAAGTCCGTCTCCTAGCAATTTTTACAAATTTGTGCGGTTCTTTTGAAGAGAATTAAATTTAGAAACGCTTTAAAGAAATTGATCAAAGTAGAAACGGTTGATTACCTTCATGCTGTAATTCCACCGTCAATTTCCGGAAGGGATCGCTGTTTCTAAAATAATTGTTTTTGATAACATGTTTTAAAAAGTAGTGTGATAAGAGAAATATGTTGTATTGCACCTGATAAAGGAAGCGCGGAATCTTGAGCTCGGGCAAAGTAAGCTAGGTTGTCAACGTGTACCATCTCGCAGTCCACGTCAAAAGGACTGTAAGAGGATTCCTGTCGTGCAGGCGTTGCTAAAAACACGCATATATGCGATAGATCAGCCGGAAGTTTGACTTCGGCCTCATTTTTGAAAGATGTACTTTTGGGGAAAAGCGAAGAAGCCCACTGAATCACGTTCTTTTCGGCATCTAGATCAACGTCAACGACACTAACGTTTTGACGTTGCTGGACGTCCAAAAAATCGAGAACCTCATCGTTGCTAAGATTGGTGCTTTTGCTACGTTTGTTTACTGCGATGAGTACTGGAAGACTCGAATGAAGTTCTCGAAATGCTACAAAAGCAGAAGCAAACTAAGAGAAAGACTGTTAGTCTTAATCATATAAAAATTTATCAAACCAATATAGAAATAACTCACGCGTTCGCGCTCTAAGATTAAAAAACTATACATTTTTTGGTTTTCTGGGTTCCCAGGTAAATCTTTTGGATCACCAACTTGATCTTTTTATATGATAAAATTTTGAGGCTAAATAACAAGGAAATAGGGATAAGGCGTGCACTATTAAAGAAAAGGTCATACAAAGGTTGCCATCCATTAAAGTATATCAAGACTGTGACATTTGGAGCGTTAAAGTAGTATCTATAGTGATATATAGGCTTTAAGATATTATAATAGAAAATATCAGCAAGAGAAAAGCCATCATTAATTGAAAATATACTTTTTAATATTTACCGAAGCATTCTTGTATGTTGTAACGCAACATCTCAATTGAGTGGATCCGACGGCATCAAAAGCCACCAGAGCGGGATGGCATCCTCATATAGAGAATAAATTAAGCGATATTTAAAGGGAGTTTTAATATTAAACGCATACCATAAATGGGTCTTATTTCCTTTCTTTTCAACTAACTTGGAAGCTTTGATTAAAAAATCAACCTGAAGATGGAATAAAGGATATTATTATGGGTAATTAAAAACAATAACCTATGAACATCTTTTGCTAAAATACCATGCCTGATTCCCTTAAGCCAAAGATATATAGGATGTTATCAGGATACGGCTCATGTTCAAGATCATGTTGATAAATGTTTAAATGGGCATTCATTTTAGAGAAAGATTACCCAAAAGATTGACAGGAGGTACATGTATATTATATACAAACTCTCAAATGAGATAGGTTATTTTATTGTAAATACATGTAAATGTAATTATTACATGTATGATAATCACAAAATGCATGTGCATGTAATTATTCCCCCGATAATGGGAATGATATTTATATTAAGGAAAAGAAATTTGCATGTACATGTACTATCAATCTTTACTAAAAATAGGTCTTATCTTTGATAATCCTATTGTTATACGTCAATTTGTCTTTTGTTTTAAGAGAAATTTGAATGTTGGTCACCATTAATGTAGAAACCAAAAAAGTGATCTAGAGTAATTTGACTGTAATTTTTGCTCAACTAATAATACATATTATAAAATTGATCGCGAAATGTCTTATTATTAAATATAAATGATTATGAATTTTGCAAAAGAGCTAATAATCATTCAGTGCTTTTTTCACACATCACGAATCCATTATTAAATATTCTTCGCTTGGACATAAAGATATTTATTGCATATTTAAATTTCTTTATTGATATTCTATATATAATAGAAATTACATTAACTGAATAGAAATTGTTTGAGTTTAATTGGCTAGCGTAAAATATGCTAATAGCCTTTACGTAAGGTTTTTTTACAAATATTTCACTTAACGGAAAATAATAACGATAAAAATAACACAAGCAGCATAATAAAATAAAGTATTTGACATAACAAAAGAAATGACTATGCTGAAAATTATGCTTTAATAAGCATTGATCATGCTGAAACCTGTTATAATTGCGTGCTGAAAAAAGGTGATGTAAATTACGCGATTTATTGTGTTGCTGAAAAATTGGCTGAAAAATGTGCAGTGTTACGTGTTCGTGCTGAAAGATGATGGCAGAGACACAGCCGGCCGATCTTGCTAGTTCGAGAACTAACACAAAATGCAGATCTAAATAATAAAAGTTTCTTTTAATCTAATCATATCGATATGGGGAATCCATTTTACGTAATACATGTAATGTACTTTTTTATAAATATTAATTTTTCGCTTTTATCAAAAAAAACTTTGGTAAAACATTTGATCACTACTAATAAACTGAATGATCTTGCTTAATTAAAGATATTGAAAGTTTCCGTTTTAAGATCTTTATTTTTAAATACGTATCATACAAAAGGATCAACCTGGTGGTTGGAAAGTTAAAACAAAACAATTTGAAGCATACAACATATTATTGTATTCCAAAGCAGCAATTGAGACAACATGTCTAAATAGAAATATAGTCTTGAATACATGAAATATGGACTACTCACAAGTGGATACATATTATTATGCAATGAAAGTAATGGCAACTACAAAAAATAAAAATCATTATAAAAACAAAAATTACTATAGGTTTCTTAAAATTTATACATTGTGACTTTTCAGACTGAAATATATTATTTATCAACTTATCATTCTCACGGATATAACCAAACAATTTACATAATATATGGTTAATCCCGTTAGACTTAATTAATTTTAACTTAATATCTTGTTAACCTGAATATTTTTGAAAAATCTTTCTAATTTGTAACTAATAAAGAAACCGCCAAACTGAAATACAATATGTATCATCTTCATTTTAACGGATTATATACCATAAAGCTCAGAAATAAAATCAGCAGACTAATATCTTATATGCTGTTCTCTTTTACTATAAATTTTATTTAGTAACGAGCGAGACATTAAATAATTATGAAACTAGAATGTATTTAAATTATTAGATTAAAGCTGTATTCAATAACTTCCCGTTAAACCGAAAGACCCCGTTAAAGTGGAGTCGATTTAACGGAAATTTAATGCGAATATTTGTAAACTTGTAGAGTAACACACGTATAATCATGCTTTTTATGATATTTTCTAGTATACATAAAGTAATTTTTGGGGACGAAAAAGCAGCTATCAGATAAAAATGCGTTCAATTACAATAATGAAAAAATCTGATTCAATGCATGTAGTAAGCTATTATACAAAGAAGACACATTGTTATTGGGTATCCAGATAATCTGTATTTTAGATTTTCCTCGTTAATTTTATACATGAATTCAAAAAGCAAATTTTTCATAGAACATCACATTTCATGCATTATCTTGTTACGCAAAAAAAAAAAACTTTAACGATAATAAATTTTCTACATCGACTACTTAATGCAATATAAATAGCTAATCAAGAAATCATAAAATTGAAATAAGAGTCAGCTAAAATGAAAAATTTATATGTAATTTGTTTACTTTTATCATTATTATACATAATTAAAAAGCAATTGCATCTCTTCAACAAGAAGACCCGGCGTAAGTAAGATACATATTTGAATTTTTATTTTACGACTATGTAAAACTGATTTTATGAGTTATACCAGGTTTTATAATATAACTAGTGAAAATGAAAACAGAAATGTGAATATTCTAAATCTTCGCGCAACAGTTCTTCCACAGCAGCAATCCAACCCAACAAATAAACCTTCTCAAACCCCATCGCAATCTCAATTAAAACCGCAGCAGCAACCGTAACCGCAACCACAACCTCAATCACAGCCACAGCCCAATAATCCAAATTCACCACCACCAAATACCAATTCTACCAATGGTACAACTAATGGTATAAAACAACCAGCGCCATCACAATCTCAACCTAACCCTAAAATACAACCACAACCACAACCGCATACAAATCCAAATTCAGGTAACAATCCCCAAATTGCTATCAAACCAGTTGCATTGCCTAGCCAATCTCCTCTGTCTACAACGAGTGCAAATCCAAATTTACAAACAATTCTTCTTTATCTGTTCCTAATACACCAAGGTAAATTTTCTAATTTAAGAATAAATAAATAGATTTCCTTCATTCTTCCTAATTTAATAGAAATTTCTAACATATTTTGATCTCCTAGTTCTAAAGGTGACGATCAGCCAACGCATATATATGTAACATATTTAACAAGCACTTCAGCATTCCCCATCTAGTCAGACCAGCAGCGATGACTCTTCTAATCCAGGAAACTCGCCAACTTCAAGAGCAACCAAGAGTTCAAGCGAAAATAGCAGCGATGACTCGTCAACTTCAATAGTAACCAAGAGTTCAAGCGAAACTAAAAATTCTAAAGAAACTATAGCAGTAAATGGTTGTAAATTCTAATTATCGACAGTTATTCTGAAGTTGTATTAATGATAACTTGGATTTGTAATAAGTATATTTTAGCTTAGGATAATTTTTTGATTTACATGTATTATATCGTGTAATTTTGGAATTTGTTTGCGATTTGTTTTCATCAAACAAGTAAATAATTTATTATCTCCCCTCTCGAGTGTATATGCTTTATCTGCCTTTAAAAATCTGTTAAAAAGTAGTCGATGATTTCGGGATTGAAACGGACTTGTTATGCATTTTCTGACTTTGAAGTAATAGTACAATGCAAAGAACAAAAGGAAATTTGTCCAATTGACTGATGAAAAACTCTTAATGGCTTATTAAACTTAATTTAAAAGCAAAAAATTAAGATGTATTTGGTAATATTTATCAATTCTAAATCTAGAGATGTTAATCGGTCCATCCCATCCAGTCCAGGGACTGATCATCCTAGCTAGAACCAGAATCATCCTTTTAGGATCATCCTATCGGATCAACTTCTTATTAGGATGATCCCTGACCATCCAATACTTAGAATGGTTTCAATATCAAATTAGTAATAAAAAATTAATAATCGTAAAAGATATTCATTATAACCACTATCAGTACAAATGATACTCTAATCAAACTTTGAATTTTTATATTTACTGATGAAAAATTTATGAATTAAAAAATTCAACTTTTAAGACAAAAAGAAGTACAAGCTATTTCATTATTTTGAACTGCATTAATTGTATATTTTGCTATATTAAAAGTTGACTTAGATAAAATACTTGATAATGAAATTGCAAGATAGTCTCAGACCAAATAGATAAATATTAAAAAATTATTAGAATAAAGTTTTTACTATTTGAGAGGATTAATATGATCTGCTTCAAGTGAAAGTTAGAAATATTATTCAAACTTATGAGTATTATATTTATTATCTGATAATGAACTTTGAATAATAGCTTGAAATATATTATATATTATAATTGATCAGAATAGTAATACTTGAACATTATCTGGATTATATTAGTTATATGCTTTTTGTAAAATGGATCTTGTATATAATTGATTATCATAAGTAAATATTAAAAGTTTAATATATAGATCAAGAAAAGTTAGATTATAAATAATTTGCAAATAAAAATTAATAGACTTCATGTTTTTAATTTTATTATTTTTATAATCTTGACTTAACTATTAATACTTTGAATATTATATATAAGCAAATTTATTATTATTATACATATAATATTAAGAGTTAAATAAGATAAATTCAATAATAATTCAGTTATATCATTTATTAAATAAAGAATATCTATTATATTTTATAAAAAATATATTAAATAAGTATAATTTTAATATATATTATTGATTATAATATCAATAATACTTACTTATAATATCTTATATTCTTGATATATTAAATAAATATTTTGAAGATTTTAATATTTTGTAATAAGAATATTAATTATTATTTTTATATCTTTAAATTATTAAAATATATATTAAATTTTAATAGATTAAATTATATAATTTACTAGAAAAATTATATATTTTTTTAATATTAGTATAAGATTATTTTGTTAATGATTATAAATAAGATAAAATATAATATAAATAATTTTAACTTTATAACTTATAATTATTTTTATTATTTAAAAATATTCAGATCTAAAGTTAAATTACAAAATAAAGAGATCTTATTTATAAGAAATAAAATAAATATAAAATACAAATAAATTAATAATAATCTATAAATAAAAATATATATAGATTGAATAAAATTAATTAACTTAATTCATATCTCTAAAGAGCAACTAATCATAAGCTAATAATTAATAATAATATAAATA